TTTGACGGTAAGAAAATAACTTCACAAGTTCATTTTGCGAATATCATGCTAGAATGCACGCATGGGTGAGGTCCCAAATTTTTTAGGAGCGAATTTGAGTGAAATGTTGCGTCTCATTCAAAATCAAACAACATCAAAAGTTTAACGTGTTTTATATTTTATATGAATATTTCCATTTGTTATATTTGAAAAGTGTAATGCATTGTAACATATGGTAATCAACTAATGTTATTGATCATCCTTTATAATGGTTGTTGTAGATTGATGTTATTACAATGTAAACATATATAAATTGTTTTAGCTAATATGAATGTTACCTAGATGGAGATATGTTATCATTTTTCCTCGTGTTATATTGTTGATATATATTATACGTCATTCGTGTTTCTATAAAATACATATTATAATTGATATATGTGAAAGAGAATGGATGGAGATGTATCCTCCGAACTTGTTGTTTGGAGAATGAAGACAGAACGAACGCCTACTAAAATTGCAAAGAGAGCTGAGAGACTAAATTGATTCCTATAGAAAACTAGACTCTCAAATAGAGAAAGATCATGAAGGAATGTTGAAACAAAACAAAAAGAGTTGCACAATAAACCATTTGACAACATAATTTTGGGCTACATCTAAAATCCTATCGTCTTTGGATGAGGATATCTCTGGGTTTTGGACTCCATTGTTTATCTTCCCATCATTCATAACTATCTCTTGCTTCTTCTTTTTCATCTTGGAGGTTAAATCGACAGCTTCAATTACTTCTTCTCATTCCCAGAGTACTCTTCTTGCACAATGAAATATTTAGCAAGCGGGGAGTTTCATCACGACTTGTTCGAACGAGAAGTTATGAAATGAGAGGGGGGGGGGGGGGGTTACCGAAAGAGAAATTAAAAAAAGAGGAGGGGGGGGGGGGAGTGTTCTAATTTGAGGAATTGGCTATTTTCTTGATATTAAGTCTTTGGTAGGGATTAAAATCAAAGTTCTAATAAATTTTGGTAGAAGTTGATTAAAAATGTAATTGAAAAGTTGTGGATTCTATTAAAAATTAATTGTTGATTCTGGCTTGAATTAAAAATTTTATTTTAACATCCTCCAAATTAGGCTAAAATGTGAGCATTTTTACTACAGTTAATAGTATTTTTGGAAGAAAATATTGAGTGTGGTAAAAATGGGATTACGCTTTAATTGGGATTAATTGGGTGAAATTATTTTTCCAATTTTTTGGGCCACAAATTTGATGATAAGATTGGTCCTTTTTTATTCTTGGTCAAATGATTATTCTTGAACCCTTTTAATTTTAATTTTTGTAGTAATGAGATTATTGGCAAAATGAAAAGTGGTTATGAGTTTATTTGTCGGGCAGGGTTTGGAACTGAAGCCTGTTTGATACAAACCAATTCCATGGAAAATAGAATTTAATTTGTGGAAATTACACAATTCCATACTTTAGAAATTCACAATTCTAAAATAAAATGGGTAGTTTAATCTTTCGAAAATCAGATGTTTTATTTTAATTAATATTTTTTTAAAATAAATATTTTTACTAAATATATATACTCCATTACACACACAAATCCTAATTAATTCCCAATTTTCTCTATCTCTCTCTACATTGCTTTCTCGTCTTAGACACACACTCTCTCTATATTCTGTGAAGAAACTGCGTGGTGGTGGATGAGGTGTAGTGGTTGTGTGATGGCGGCGGATCTGGCGGTGGTACGTGTGGTGGTGGCAAATCTAGCGGTGGTGCATGTGGTGTGGCGATCTGGTGGTGGTATTTTGGTGGAGTAGCAGTGTTGTTGTACGGGTGAGTGTGTGGTGTGGTAGTATGCAACATTGACGTGGAGGTGGCAGATCTGACTGTGGTGGATGTGGTGTGGCGGTATTGCTGTAGGAGTGTGTGTGTTTGTGATGTGGCAGTGTGCGACGGTGGTAGATCTGATGTGGCGGTGGTGCAGGTGTGTGGTGATGTTACAGTAGGAGTGTGTGTGGTGTGGCAGTGTACGGCAGTGGGGGATCTGGCGGTGGCGTATTTGGCGTGGTGGTCTAACAGTGGTGTTTTCATGGTGCGACGGTGTGTGGTGGTGTTGCTGTAGGAGTGTGTGTGCGGTACGATAGTGTGTGGCGGTGGTGGGAGGTGTTGCTGTGGGGTGATGGTGTGGCGGTGTGTGGCGGTAGTGTTGATTTTGTTTGAGACAGTAGTGTTGCTGTAGGGTGGTGGTGGTTCCATTGATGACGATTGCGTTGGTGATGGTGGAGGTAGGGATTGTTTGGTGATGGTCACAGATTAATTGGTTGATTGTGACCATTAAATTAGTTAATTTGTGACCAATGTGATCGATGAAAAAGATAAATTGTGACAAAAAAATAATGTGCGACCTAAAAAATTAATAATTTGTGACTGTCTGATAAATTGTGACATATAATATTTGTGATCTGTGACATATAAAATTTTTTTATTCATAACTGAAAAATAATGTGACTTACAAATTTTTTATTTGTGAACGAAAATAAGTTGTGACCAATAATTTGATAAGTTGTGACTAAAAATTAATCTGTGACTAATTAATTTTTTTGATTTGTAACCGATAAACAAACTGTGACTTACAAAATTTTTGAATTGTCGTCGTAAAATAATTTATGATATAAAAATTTTGATTTGTGACCAAAAAATAATAAGTAACTCAATAAATTATTAATTTTATAGATCACATATTATTTTGCCATAGGAATTTAGCTATTTTGCCATTTTATTCCTCGGTTAATGCCAATAATCTTGTTTTCTCCACTTTTACAATTATTAATACCACCTCATCAAACTTGTTTATAATTTATTGAGTTGTGATCGAAAAATTATCCTGTGACTTATAAAAATTTTAATTTGTGACCAAGAAATAAGTTGTGATCAATAATTTGATAATTTGTGACTAAAAATTAATTTGTGATTAATTAATTAGGTAACTGTGACAAAAAATTATCCCGCGACTTATAAATTTTTTTATTCGTGATCTAAGAATAATATGTGACCTATAAAATTTTCAATCTGTGACCAATAATTTGATTAGTTGTGACTAAAGATTAATCCGTGCCTAATTAATTTTTTGATTTGTGACCAATGAACAAACTGTGACCTATAAAATTTTTGAATTGTGATCGTAAAATAATTTTTGACCTAAAATTTTTGATTTGTGACCAAAAAGTAATAAGTGATTAATTAAATTGTTAAGTTGTGATCAAATTGTATAGATATGTGACCTAAATATATTTAATTAATAAATTAATTAAATCATAAATATATTTTAATAAAAATCTGATTTTGGAAGTTTGAAACTTGTTTTCTTAATTTTGAAATATACTATACTTAATCTCTTGTTTATGAAATTTTCCCATTTAATTTTCCACCCAAATGTCTTTTTTGATGGGCAAAAATTTCCATGGAATTGGTTTTTCACCCTACCCTTCACGTGACCCTTTTTCTTCGTTTTTAGGGAATTTTCTTTCCTTCGGTTTTGGTGAAAAAGTGTTTTCTAGTTTTTTTTTTTTTAATAGAAACAAATTCTATTCACAATTTTAACAAATTCTATTTCTTTAATTGACAATTTTCATAGAAAACAAAGCCAAACAAACACCAAAAGATCCAAAATTTCAACATTTTTCAAGTGGAAAATTATATCAATCACACACATTTAATTGACAATTTCCAGTAAAACAAATTCTTGATAATTCAATTTCTTGGAATTCGTTTTCTTTTCATCCAAATTTCATTCTTACAATTAAATGGATCATTACTTTTGAACTTAAAATTTTAGAATAACTCTAATGACAAACATATGAAAGGGGAGAAAGAGTAGTTCAATTTTGAAATAAAAAACTTCGAAAAGACAATATTTAACCGATTTTGTTATGTGACAATCAATATCAACTAGTTGCCAATACAACTGTCAAGTTCTATTATTTTCTTGAAATTTTTTGAATTTTCTGTGATATGGTAAATTTCATTCATGTTAACTTTACTTTCATTTAATTATAATTAGGTTGTGTAATTCAATTTTGTTTAGTTGTTAAATTATGCCTAATTTGATTTTAATAAGGTAACTCCATCAAATTTGTCATTTGAAATAATAATTGATGACACAACAGTCAATAAATGATGGTCATCATTAATTTTAATATTATTTTTATTCTATATCAACAACTAATAATTATGTGTGATGATTGATGACTATCATTTATACCGTCATTTCATCAAATTTTACAAAAGAAATTGGGCCAAGTTATCTAAATTAAAATAAAATAAAAGTTTATTTATTCAATTGAAATCAAATCAAATTAAAATGTAGTTATCCGTTTAAAATCAATCTAAAATACAATCATTCAATTGAACAAAATTGAAGTATAATTATCTGATCAATACTAAGGGTGCGTTTGATTGCAAGTAGGAAAATTGCATAGAAAGAAAATATTTTCCAGGTAATTCAATTGCCTGGAAATTATTTACATGGAAAATGTTAATTACACGTGTTTGATTGACTTAAATTTCAACCTAGAAAATGTTGTAATTTTCCAACTTTTGGTGTTTGATAGCCATTATTTTCCATGAAAATAATCATTTTTTCCAACTTTATCTGTTTGACAACCACTATTTTCCATGGAATTTCATGGAAATTGTCACTTTTTCGATGGAAAATAGTGGTTTTTTCCCATGAAAGTTTGTCAATGAATGATCCAAATTTTAAATAAATTGTATACATAAATGCGGCCAAATCCTAATCAATCATAATTAATATAGCAGTTCATTTGTGGATAAAAACATACCAAGATTTGGTACGAAAGATGCATAAACACTGTCGAGATAAAATAATTATCCCTAACAATTCAGATTTCTACCACTTACATATTCTTCGTTGCAGTCAAAAATAATAATCTGATAATCAATTCAATAAATAATGATGAAATTTCGTTCAATGTATTACATAAAATGAAAATGAAAAAACCCGAAAAATCTGTATCATAAGAAAATAGCAAATAAAATCAACATAAATGTCATACTTTCACATATGTTTGTTAAATTATCCAAGCAAGTCATCTTAAAATAGTGCAGGCGGATCACGGCCCAGATTCTCAAATACTAAATCACGCATGACTTCTTCATCAGTCAAACTCATAAATACTTTAGCCAGACTCTCATCCGATCGAAATATTTTTATTACTTGTATTATGTCACGCTTTTCTATACTCATGCCTTGTAATTTTTCTAGAACCAATTGCCAATTGATATGGTTTAGCGTATCTAATGTTGCTTGAGTTTCCATAGCAACAGCAATTTTTTTAGATGATTCGACAATGCTTGATAGGGCAACGAGACTCTCATCATTAGGTTGGGTATGTCGACGGCGAACTTTGTTAGTTCCTCCTTCGGCATTACACTTAGGAGAGCGAATGGGGCTTGGATCTGTATCCTCATTTTGACCATCAACTTCATGCACATTTTCATCTAAAAAAATAATAAAATAAGAATTTGTTAGAATCTCTAATATAATATGAATTATATAAATTTTTATGTACGATCTAGTACGTACCATGATCGGGGGATAAAATGTCATTTCCGGTTACAGCATGATCTCCTGTAGCAGAATCATTTCCAAAGATAGCCTCCAAATCATCATAACGAGAACAAAGTTTGGTCCTCCACTTTCCAAATTTTGGTTTGCCCTACAAGAAAAAGAGTGAAATATGTTTTACGCTAGTTAGTGGGCAGAATAAATTAGATTAGTAATATTTAAGGAATAATACTTTCATTGGTCAATGAAATTTTGTACCTTCAACAACTCCTCCCAAGCTAGTACATTGGCTGTGACATGTCTAGTGTGAGGATCTAACCCAAAACCACTCATGCTTAACAACTGAAGAACTTCAACATATTCTTTTTTCAGAGTTTTCAATCGCGCCCTCACATTCTTATCAGACACCGTGACTCCGCATCCATTGTGCACGTTCTCGATTGCTTTGGACACGTGATATGATGAAAAGCCATTGTCACTTCTTTTGTGATTAGACAACACTTGATGTAGTAGTGCAGTTATCATACAACCGTCCATTGCATCACTCCAACGTATTTGACGATTCCGAGAATTAGGATCCGCTTGGGTTGAGCTTATTTCCTCCACATCTGAATGAAGGGTTGGTCTAGGAACTCGAAAAGGTGCCGCCGAGCTTTGTCGAATATTTGCCATGTATAGTGGAAGATTAACTGTTTATGGTCAACCAATAAATAAGAACATTTAAAAAAATTGCATGTCAAAAATGTCTCCAATAACAGCAATTCCAATTACAATATTTAAAATTCTAGCAATCTTATGTCAACTATTATAGGACATGGGGAAAAAAAACAAAAAATCTGCTTAATGTCAATACGTCTTCAATTCAAGCAATTACTACATATGAAAGTCTAGTAAATTTATATCCATTACATAGAAATGAAAAACAAATAAAAAATAAAAAACAAGAAAAAAAGAAAAAAAAATCAGATATCAATTGAAATCAATTCCCGCATTCTAATTGGGAAGATAATCAGCCCACATTAAATCAGCAATCGCATTCCTCTTATTAGACCACGCTTCCTGATTTGTGAAAGATATGTGAGCACTTGGAGTTTCATCTTCAAGTACATCAATATGCGTAGGGTTAACCTCATCGTCACTACTATCTAAGTCGTCCTCCTCACAAACATCTTCTACATCATCAGTCCTTAAGAAGTTGTGGATGGCAAAACAGGCAAGGACGATCTTTGCTTGTGTGTCAATGTCGTGATAGGGTTGATGTTTCAAATATGCAAATCTTTTTTTCAGCAAACCAATTGTACGCTCAATAACATTGCGTAGAGATGAATGTTGAAAATTGAACAACTCCTTACTACTTTCAGGACGTTGACCTTCAATGTCTCTACGATGATAACGAGTCCTACGGTATGGTGCAAGAAAACTCGAAACCGATGGAAAGCCAGCGTCAACAAGGTAATATTTACCTAGGAAAGAGTCGTTCATAAGATGGTAGTTAGGTAATTATAACTTATGCGTGGAAGAAATATTTTCAAAATAGTGACACAACTTACCAATAGGAATTGTTAGCTTATGTCCTTGGCGCAATATTGCACTCCGTAACAATCGACCGTCATGTGCGGATCCCTCCCAACCGGCAAGCACGTATGTAAATTTCATATCAAATGCGCAAGCTACTAAAACATTTTGGGAAATCACTTGCTTTCTATTGCGATATTTACCTTGCTCCTCTAAAGGCACATACGTAGCTATATGTGTACCATCGATTGCTCTTACGGCATCCTTTAAAAAACAATACTTTTCAAAATTAATTTTTCATCTTGAAATTTTAAGAAATGTGATGAAATAACTACAAACCACTAACCTGAAAAAAGGAGTACCATGGCTGCACATTTTCTTTTTCGTATGGTGAGTTATGAGGAGTGGCATTAATCACAACATCTCTATACAATCCAAGACAAGCGTGTAAGACTCTGTGAAAGTAAAAGCTCACTGTTTGACCAGAGCGAAAGAAAGTAAAACGTCCAGCGCGATTACGTTGGTCATGCCCGACAGTATTCAGAAAAATTGCGACTTGTTCCTCAATTTGAACGTATTTACTGTCAACCAATCCATAAGTTCGCAAACAAGCACATAATCTTTGAAATGAACCTATTTTCATCATAAGGAGATCACGACATATTGTATCACTCGTGCCAAACATTCGTGTAAGTGTTATTTCTCTTTCAGAATTCCAATTTGTATGAGGAGCTCTTGGAAGATGTCGTGCACGATGCCTAAATTCGTTATATATCACAATCGCTTGCATGACCATCATCCAAAATATACCTAAATGTTGTCGTCAGCATCGACATTGATTCGTTGTTGTAGCCATGTTATAAACTACCACGGTAAATAAAAATTCAATAAAAATTTGTTTAGAAAGAATAACATAAAAGCATTATAGAATAAAAAGTTAAACATAGCTACATCATAATAGAAATTCATTGCATACACTTCCAAGCATAATGTCAACTGGTTATATTAGAATTCTTAAAATCATTTTTTTCAATTTCATGCTTCCCTAACTCATTCGCACCACAGCAATCCCCCAATTAATAGAATCAAGAACATATACCCAAGGGCATAAATTGTTAAGCTACTTCTAAATCTTCAACTATCTCTCTAAGCAGAGATTAATAGTAGGTACAATAAACTCTAAGCAATAAAATAACTGTCTCCAACACAGTGAGATGATTATAAACTAGAAATGATACAATCTGCCTTAAAATATGTCAAACGTCATTAAAGAGTGACACGTTTATTCACTTAAATCTAGTCTTGAACATGCCCTCACTCACACAAAATGAATTCATTTTTTTGTCAAAAGCCTCGTATGTGCACAAGTTCAATAAATAGTGATAGCAAAACTTGATCCCAAGAAATTTGCTTGCTCCAATACCATGACGAACCACTTCATTTAAAAATCAACCATCACAGCACAAAAGGATACTTTCATACTAGATATAAAGGTAGACTGCTAATTAGTTATCATCTCCTGTAAAGAAAATTCCACATTCAAAACACTAATGAATACTTATCAAATATTGAGTAGTTGTGAAAATCTGATAGTGGACTAAATCTCCACTTCGGAGTCTGTGCACTTCAAGAATCAAATTCACTAGGGACCAACAATAGTTTATTCACCATACTGGGAATAAGATAGAGTGAAGTTTTGAAATTAAGCAGAGGATAGAAATATTTCCCAGATAGACAATATTAAGGCTCATTGCAATAGAGAAGAGAATACTGAGAATGAGGAATTTTGGGGAAATTTTCTGGGATGTGGAATGTGGAAAACATTTGAGATGTAGTTAACCAGTCTTACCAAGTGACATATGTCCTCAATTCATAAATGCAAAGAATGTGCAAATTCAAAGCAATGAAGATCTCATCTAGCACCCTTATGTAACGTTCTAAATGGTAGTGACCGGAAACAATTTCCTTCTGATGATTATCGAATTGGAATGCTCAATCAAATGCTGTTTACATATCAATGCTAGGAAAATATATCAAGTTCTCACTTTTTATAGAAAACATCATCAGTAAACAATGAAATTATAGTCACCCAGTTCTCTAAAATCCAAACTAACAAACAAAAGATGAAGAAAAACAGAGAACAATTTACCTGTTGCCGAAATCCTTCTCCACCAAATTCGCGTTACAATAAGCTAGGGAGGTGACGATAAGCTAAACGATGGAAAGTGACTAGCAATCAGTACAATCGAATTTCCTATGCTCAATCCAATAATTGAAATGAATGACACATGACCACCGATAACAAAGCAACATCGAAAAATAATACCAACCCGGACCACTGGCTTCCTAATGATTGATGAACAAGGCTAGGCGATCCAATTTATAGACAATTAAAGGGGATATAAACGGCTAGATAAACTTACCGTATTGATCTGAACGGTCAAATTCGCGTTACAATCCTTGTGGAAATCGGAAACTTCGTAAGTCGGTGAGTTTTAGGCGGCGATGATTGTCAAAGTCATCGAGAAAATACCATAAACCCAGATTCTTGGAATAATTACCCGCTCTGGAAGCAGAGAATTGTTGAGTTCTTCCTCTGGCTCGGTTGAATTGATGAGAGAGAGGGTAGAGATTTGTAAGTGGGGAGAGAGAAGAGAGAGAGATATTTTAACGCAGAGATGAGAGAGAGAGATATTAACGTGGTTTGGTTAGCAAGAATTTTTGGAAAGATAAAATTCCATGGTAAATAAAATCCACTTTCCCCCAAGGAAAATATTTTCCTTGTTTTCAAGGAAAATGTGGTCACGTGACCAAAAGAAGGAAAATATTTTCCTTAGAAAAAATTGCCAATCAAACAAGACAAAAGTAGAAAATAAGGTGGAAAAAACTCATTTTCCATGAAAAATATGTGCAATCAAACGCACCCTAAGTGAAATATAGTTATTGCATAGGCAATTTATCTATTTATTATTACTATTTTTTTTTTCATAAGTGACTTTTTAAGAGCAAATTTAATGATTTAGAAATAACTTTGGTTTACATTGTTAAGGAGCTCACAAGACCTTTTATAAAATTCAAAGTGAAGACTAAACATTTAAATGTAGACGAGGTAAGTGTACATCGAAAAATATTGTATCCAACTTGAAGAATTGAACTATTCAAAAAAACCACTCTCGTTTTCGCCTTATTTTCTATTATATTATGATAGAGGGCACATTCATTTTCTCTCTTTCTCGCTCCCGTGTTTCAATGCTCATGATTTGAAAGGTAATAAGGAGCCTTTTCTCAAATTAAAAAATGCGTTCCAAATAAAGATAGCCATTTTTAAAAGCACACATGTAAAATAGACACACTTTTGGTTTGACATCCAACATCAATTCTAAAACTAGATTCCTTTTGTTCCACTTTTACAAAAAATAAAAATAAAAATAAAAATAAATAATAATAATAATTTGACTATTATTCGCAAGAAAATCTTTTGAGTATTTCTCTAACATTAAGATCGAATTCCCTTCCATCCTTGTCAGTATTGTATATTAATTACAAGAAATGTTGTATCACGAGAGTATCCTGTTAACACCAGGGAAAATTATATCTTCGATCCACTACATACTATGTATCTCACTTTTTTCTTTGTTCAGGAAAAATTATATTTTCGATCCACTACATGCTATGTATCTCACTTTTTTCTTTGTTCTAGATCATTTACAATCAATCCATACATCAATCACAACATACCAAAAATACACTCAAAGTAGTTGAATGACACAAACCAAGGAATTCACAAGTAGTAGGTTAACAAGATGCACTGGTTCAAGGACAACTTCTGTCTAGGGTCCACTAGTTATATACTAAATACATCACTTCTTCCTTAATTCCGACTCATTTTTAATATGTCCATCACAACATACCAAACATACACTTGCAAATAACACGATCCAAAAATATTACGCGTCTGTCTTTACACAACACTTGGTGAATAATAACAAATTATCAAGTGAAATGGAGAATTCTCATCTGAAGGAGAATTGAATTTCCTCTAAGGTTTTGTCCTTCGTTTCTGGTACCCAAATTACCACAAATATCACAGTGAAAATGGACATGAGTATGTAAAGAGTAAAGGTCCCTGTTAAATATGCAAGAACATCGAAAAAGTTAGATTACATGTCCATCACAACATACCAAACATACACTTGCAAATAACACGATCCAAAAATATTACGCGTCTGTCTTTACACAACACTTGGTGAATAATAACAAATTATCAAGTGAAATGGAGAATTCTCATCTGAAGGAGAATTGAATTTCCTCTAAGGTTTTGTCCTTCGTTTCTGGTACCCAAATTACCACAAATATCACAGTGAAAATGGACATGAGTATGTAAAGAGTAAAGGTCCCTGTTAAATATGCAAGAACATCGAAAAAGTTAGATTACACGACGAGGACAAGCTACTCCTACCGATGATTACAATTTAAATATCACGACAACATCAAGAACAGTTTATCGACATCAAATATATAATGCTCGAAGGAACGGAATGCAATCTCATGGCGAATTGGATAACTATTAAATCAAAGGTTTCAAGAACTCATGAAAGTTTGTGAATCGGAAGTTAATGCCCTTTCTCCGTACTACATCTAACTCTATGTAGGTGAGTGTGATGTCGAAGAATATAAATAAATAAAAGTGTCATTCGGGTTCAAGTATCTCCACCACCCACTTATAAAAATTGTAAAATGTAAATAAATAAATATATCTACTCTCTAACAGATAAAACTTTGCATTGAAATGATTCGAGACGAGGTTTAATACAAAAAAATAACTTTTCTCAATTCTATTATCTTGCAATTGGCATGGAGGCTTAGGAGAAAGCACCACTAAAGGAATTCGAAATTTGTAATGAGATTTTCTCAATTGACAATATGACAGAGAAATAGACCCAAAACTGCCACTTCAATTTTAAGAAGTTTCTGGTTCAAACTTGCGAATTCGGCATAATTTTCATGAAGGAAAAAAATTTAATTGTGTGGGTTGCACTTGATCTTCATGGCAACGGGGCGGGTTTGGGGCCCCCGCCCCGCCGGGTAATTTCCCACCTCGTACGCACCCCATTACCCTTTTAAGATGGGGTGGCGAGGAGGGTCGAGGATTTTGCCCCGTTTAGGTACCCATTTAATTTTTTTTTTAATTAATTTTTGATAATTCATTTTCTTGCACACATTCATTAAAGTGAGACAATAATACAATTATTAATTTTTTTGATTAATTTATTTATTTTTAAAAGTTAAATTATTTGAATATATTTGGTAAACTAAGATTTTTATTATTTTGTCATATCCCTTAGATAATCTTAGTTGTCATTTTCTACTAGAATTAATGAAATTTTGTGGAAATTTTCCATTTAAAGTATTGAATTCGCAAAAAAAGAATAATAATAATAATAATTAAACAGGGAGGGGGCCCCTATTACCCCCGTACCTGCGCCATGGCAAAATTCCCTGCTCATGCCTAACCCGATTACTCGATTAAATAGGTAATCCCCGTCCCAAACGGGGCAGGGCCTACGGGTATCAGATTTGACAAGTTTTTTTGCCATCAGGTTCTCTGAATTCGCTTTTTACAATTTCCTACAAGTTTTGGGAACCGTATAGCACCCTCAGTTGTTGTCTCCATCAAATATAATTCTTCCCATTGAATTTAGGGACTTGTAGTGGCAACATGTTGTTTAATGCCATCTATTAACTATTCTTTTAATCTCACTATGATACCAATTTGTTAGAAACAATGGACTCTCAAGAACACGAGCACCCTCAACTTTCTTTGATCAAATGCGTCTCTCTTATTATATATGAAACCTTATTTACTATTGCTATAGAAAACAAACCTTGATCAAATTTTATAATCATAAATGCATATATGCATTGAATATTCATAAGCACTTACATATGTACCTTATATTAGATAAATAACTTAGATAATTGAATATGGAGTATTAATGTATATGAACCTTCTATGAAATTCATGTACACAAGCTAGATTATCTTTCTATCAACTACATTTTCGACAACTAGTCATTCCCTTAATTTATTCTCGACCAACAACACCTCCACTTGTTGCTCTCTTTTCTCATCTTATTTATTTTAGTATAACCACACATCTACCTTAGCATTCTCGTTTCTGCTACATTTATTTTATGGTCATTTTGTCCTTTAATAGCCCAACACTTCAAACCATAAAAAATAGGAAGTATAATTAATTTAACTTTCTGGAAATCTTCCTACCATACAAAATTCCTGTAGTACTTCTCTATTTCATCCACCGTCTAGTCTTGCATTACATCCTCTTCGAGTGAAACAATATCATATCTTCACTATATCTTGTAAGATCGTACATGACTAATGTGAAAGATTATGGGTAGAACTTGGCTTGCGAGCATCATGTGATGGAGAAATTCTCTGCTACTAATGCCACGGAGTGGAGAAATAAAATTTCCTTCTCTTATTCAATACTGGAATCACCAAAAAAGGTAAGGGAATTGATTAGGTTTCGGACAAAATGGATAGAACATTTTTGGAAATCCTAGCTGAGGACATGTAGGAAACTTAGATTTACTCTTCTAGTTTCATTTAATATATTATGTAACATTGAGGAGAGGGCTGTGTATTCCCTCTACTCTGTTCTAAGACTTTACTCAGTGTAGGAAAATCGTAGCATGTTTTGACATGAATTTCGGGTCAACAAACTTACTTGAAATGATGAATTTCAAGATCTTTGTGTGGTTGAATCACCTTGTTTTCAAATCTCCAAAATTTGTATTTTCTTGTACTCCAATGATCCAAATCTCAATTACAATGGAAGGGGATTATTGTCCACAATTTAAGTATAATTTCTTGTGAGATTTCATGCAAAAAAATGTGATTTTAGGGACTTTCCAATTTTGAGGTGAATTTCTATACGAATTTTTTTTTTCACCATTTTTTTTGTGTCTTGCCTTTCCCCCTCTTTTCCATAACTTCTATGTAGAAGTTTCAAGTGATTACTTGGAAGTTATGGGTTTGAATTCTAAATTCAAACCACTCCCTCCAACTCTTATAAAATCCTGCGGGTCGGGTCACCCCACATGGACGACCCATTATCTGTATTTTCCAACATCTCTCACTCGCACATGATGGGGTTGATCCGAACCACAAGTGACAATAAATGTCACACCTTAGATCCTTCTCAAGATCTATTTCACAAAGATTCATACGGCAAATAGATTGTGCGACCAATTTAGTAATATTAGAGCTTACGGTACTATAAACCTGTTAGGGATATATAGTAGCTCTACTAGAGGAGGAACATCACATCTCGTTATGCCCCAAACTCATTTTCCAACATTAATTCAAGTATCTCCGACCCCTCGAGTATTTGTGGAACATACTTGAACTCCGCATCATATCATTGTATTCACAATTGCATTCTATACCCCAAATGGTTAAACACAATTGTCCGGCCGATGAATACAAACATAAATGTTCGTCAAAATAGTTTTCCTTTCTTATTTGAATCCTTCGATTTTAAATCAGCTACTTTTCTAGACATGCCCCATCAAATCGAATCAATCATAGTCATTAGCAACATGCTAAAGTAGCAACACTGAAATAA